CATGATGCAGTAAGACAGTCCCCTGCCCTCCATGATGCAGTAAGACAGTCCCCTGTCTTTCATGATGCAGTAAGACAGTCCCCTGTCCTCCATCATGCTGTAAGACAGTCTCTTATCCTCCTTTCTGATGTGAGACAGTCCCCTGTCCTCTGTCCTATTTTAGTTTGGATGTAAAGAGCAAAACTCAGTGAGCACAAGGAAACATTTAGTACTACAAAGCTGGTTCACATGCATGCAGGCTGCAGCATCGGACGTTCCACGGCCAACTGCTGTTGACTAGACTGAAATCAGGCTGTCAGTAGCGGGTGCTGCAGTTCAGTGGTATGTCTGGGTCAGTAAAAGCAAAAACTGAAACAGGAACTTGTGATTTGTACGAGAAAGATTTAGTTAATATTAATAATATTTTTTAGATATCATGCGTCCACTTCAGTGGACATCAGATGTCATACATATGAAATGGAACTGCTATGGCAACCATTTAGTGCCAAAAACAAACAAAACGTCAACATTAGAATAACATCCACATAACTGTCCATCACTTTTGTTTTGTTGTTTATTTGGTAGATGGTTCAAAAAGTACTTCCCCTTCTTGGAAACGCAAAGGAATACCTTGTACTGTGTGCACATCACATACTGTACGTTTTGCTCTTGAAGTTGTTTGTCAAGGTTAACATACGATTAACAGCACGACGACATGCTCAGGATGAGAAGAACCGATTTGACTCATTTAAAAACTAACAAAGAACAAACACAAGAAATACTAAAGCATGCAAAATAAAGTACCAAAAAGTACAGTATCCATCCATCCATCCATTAAAAAGTATGTCACACATGTCTGTGTGTTAATGCACGTGCAAGCTCTCCCAGCACCCCAAGGAAGGCTTGATTGAAGGCAGCATTCTGTGCAATCTCCTCCCTTCGTAGGACTGCTCCTGTTCCCTTGACTTACAGCATATGTGTCAAACTCGAGGCCCGGGGGCCAAACATGGCCCTCGTTGACTTCTTATCTGCCCCCCAAGATGTTATTTTAAATGTAAAATACTTTAATTAATTTTTTTTCAGTAATCTTTGATTAGGGTTAGTCAAAAGAGCAACAGAGAACATCAAATGAGACCAATCAAACTCTTTTGAGGAACCTGCCACCAAGAAAAGATGTTGTGTATCTAACTTCAGTTGATGTAGATTCTGAAACCAGCCCTTAGTTTGAAAAAGGTTTTAAATTTGGCCCCTTTTGTAAGTGGGTTGGACGCCCCTGACTTACGAGCTTCTTCCAAAAGAAGATGAAAGTGCTGTTCCCGCTGTGTCGGGTTCAGTTCCTCTTCTTCTTGCAGCGTGGAAACAAGACATTGGTCTTTACTCAACACCTTTCTCTTTCTCTTGCCTAGAAATAAGAAAAGGCAGGTGGTTAATCCAGTCTAGATACTGTTTTTGAATAAATGCATCAACCAAAGAAAGGTGCTGCTGCTGAAGACAGATCTTTAATGTTCTGAAGATTAATTTTGTGATTCTATACTTAATACAAACTTTTTTAGTGTGCTACGAGTAAAAAGGTGGGTAGAAACCAGTTACACTTAATTACATCTGCTTGAGCAACATAAAAAAGAATAATAATATTAATAAAATGATAAAGTAAAATGAATGAATAATAAAATGATTAAAAATAATAATACAATAATTAAAATGAATAAATGAATCAGTATTTTTTCTACATTTTTTTTTACTTAAAAAATAAAATTAAGTCCTTATCAGCACGAATAAAGTCAGAGTCAGAGTCAGAGTTTCCGTATTGTCATTCGCACCTCATGTGGTACATGTGGTGGAGCGAAATTATGTACACAGGGTCCCAGTTACATCCAACAATAAAATGTAAAAGAAAAACAGTAATAACATCTAAGATATGAACTAAGAAAAACATCAACTAAATATACACTAAGCACTCATAACATAAAACATTGAACATCAGCACAAACATGAACATGAGTCTGTGAGCAGATGTGCACGCATGAACATATCAACATTGAAACAGATCAGCAGCAACATGAAACAGATCAGCAGCAACATGAAACAGATCAGCAGCAACATGATGTAATTTTTCACAGTGATTATTCTAGTTAGAGATTCATGAGTCTAACAGCCTCAGGGTAGAAGCTGTTCCTCAGTCTAGTGGTTCTACACTTAATGCTCTTTTGAGGAACCTGCCACCAAGAAAAGATGTTGTGTATCTAACTTCAGTTGATGTAGATTCTGAAACCAGCCCTTAGTGAAAAAAAGTGAAGTGAAGTGAAGGGAGGGTTTAATGTGGAGTTTAGAGACGAGCAGCTCTAGCAGTTGTTGCGCCGCCGTGCTGCCCCAGGCTCAAAATGAATTGTGTTATTTAAAGTTACATTTGACCTCAATAATGGCTGATGTTTTCACACATTCACAGTTCTTGGACACAGAGTCAGCTACAGTTAGGGTTGGGCATCGTTTCAATTTGAGCTATTCCGGTTCTGATTCTTCGTTTCGGTTCCAGTTATTTTTAGAGGTGGTGTTAAAAAAAAAAAAAGAAATGTCAATTCCATCCATCCATTATCTTTTACCCGCCTCTTCCATTTTGGGTCACGGGGGTCGTGGGTGCCCATGTCCAGCAATCATGGTGCGAGGGGTGCGGGACACCCTGGATAGGTCTCCAGTCCATCACAGGGACAAACAACTATTCACTCTCTCTCTCACCTAGAGACAATTTAGAGTTACCAATCAGCCTAACATGCATGTTTTTGGTCTGTGGGAGGAAACTGGAGTACCCGGAGAAAACCCACGCATGCACGGAGAGAACATGCAAACTCCACCCAGAAAGGCCCCTGGACCGGGGTTTGAACCAGGGACCTGCTTGCTGAGAGGCAGCAGCTCTACCAGTTGTGCCACCGTGCTGCCCGTGTCAGTTCAATTCAGTTTATTTCTAAAGCTCCAAGTCACAACAGAAGTCGTCTCGGGGACTGAACAGAAACATTCAAATATTAAAAAAATAATAAGTTAACAGAAACATTCATATAAAAATAATAAGTTAACCAAAACATTCATATAAAGTGTCCTTGGGTGCTTTTTAAATAAAATGATTATTATATTATTATTATTATAAAAATATTTATTTGAGGAGCAGCCTGCTCTGAGTTTAACTCCATCGTGTTATAAATGAGCTGCAGTAGTTAGCCACAGTTCTTTCTGGATGAAATAATTTGAACTTTTATTTGAATTTTAATTCTATGAACTTTTTACTTTTTGTTAACTTTACTATGAATTTGTCACAGGGCTATTTTCAACCAGTTTATAAATATCAAACGTATGAACTTTAATATAAATGTTATGAATTTCTTTTCACAGGGATAAACTTTCACAAGAGTTTTATGTTTGAAAACCTCATGGAAACATTTCCACATGTCCAGTGTGTGATGCTGCAGCCATGTTACTGAGCTCCCACTGATGGACTAACCTGCTGCAGAATATCAAACTAAATTATTATTATTATTATTATTATTATAAAAAAGAACAACTTGTACAATCCAGTCCAGATTAGCAGCAGGTCCAGTATAAAATCAGAAGCTGTTCTCGTTGAGGAAAATGATCATATCTGCTTCTCAGGCAGTACGTGTGCATGTTCTGGACAGACAGTGTCTCCTGCAGTGGAGAACATGTCTGAAGGTGTAGAAGAAGCTTGAAACATAAATATGAGAAATCAAGATCTGACAGCAAAGGGTAAGTCTTGTGTTGGTTCCACCACCAGCAGCAGGTC